GGCGCCTCAGCAGCCCGTCCCCGCCGTCTGGGGCCCGACGCCGATCCACGAGACCCGTTTCTGTTTCGTCGCTCGCTCGTGCCCCCTCGGCCTTGCGTTAAGTCGGGCCTGTCCCTCCATTTGAAAGATACTCCGCGGACGAGGTTCCTCACATACTTTCGACTGTTTCTGGGCACCTTTGGAGTCTTTTTTTGTTTTTCGTCCAGAGTCCGACCTGAGCCTGGCGATCCGACACAGCACGCGGTACTGAGACAGTGTGCGCCTCGGCCCCGCAAGGGGGCGACGCGCACGCTCGGACGTCTTGCAGCGCCTGTCTCCTGTGGGGGGGGGGGCACCCTCGGGCCATGCCGCTCGGGAGACCATCTGCTGTCAGATCTACGTCCCGAGTGGCCGTGTCGCACGTGCGTCAGAGGAGGAAGAGGTACCCATACCTCTACCCTCCCCTCGTCTTTTCCCCTGTTCGGGCCTCCTGGGCCTCCGTCGTCGCCACCGCTGGATTCGCCTCCAAATCCTGGTCAGAACGCACCCCAGGAGAGGTCCGGGGAGTAGCGGTCCCAGTGCGGGGGGGGGGCGATGACGACTCGCTTGTCTTGTTCTGCCGCTTGTTGTTCTGCTCCTCCGCACTCTCCTGCTAATTTCTGTCGTGCTCCATCCTTCTCTCTTCCCGCTGTCCCTTGCCTCCTTCTTCCACCTGTTTTAGGGTTGCGCCAACTACACGTGGCAGGTAAGGAAGATATACCCCAAGGGGGGTGTGATCGAAGGCAAAGAGGGAGGTTATCGAGTGTTCGGGATCTACGTGTTGGGTGGCACCCGAGCAAATAAGAACGACGAGTCTTATAATTATTGTTGTCGTGACCCGATGCCGAAGTTGTGAACAAGGGGGGCGGCGATGGTGGTGCACACTGGGGTCTTATGACTGATTTGTACGACGCAATTCCCAGTGCGCACCACAAGCGCCTGGAACGGTGTCCCCGGTGTGCACCACAAGTGTACTGTCTCTACGGGGTTCCCAGTGCGCACCACACGCCGTCCCCAGTGTGCACCATCCCCCTGAGTGCACCACCCCCTCCCCCCGTGTGCACCATCCCCTGTGTGCACCATCCCCTGTGTGCAACTCTCGGCGCAAAGAAGATTTGGTGGTCGAAGTTGCAGGGCCGATGCGGGCGCCACCCGCCAGGTGCACCGCGAGGGGGGCCCCCTGTAACCTTCCCCGGGTCGGTCCAGGCAGCAGGCACAGACAAGGAAGAACAGGATAGGAGCCCTGCAAAGGGGGCACGGGAGCACATAGATGGAAACGGGAGGGGGCAGGGAGGAGACAGGAACGAGAGGGAGGAGCGCGAGGGGAGGCGCAGTGCGGGGAGGCAAGGGCGGAGAGGGAGAGGGGAGGGAAGTCAGGGGCGAGGAGAGGGGACCGACAGGGACGGGAGAGAAGGAAAGAACACGAGAAGGCAGGGAGGGACCGGAGGGAGGGCAGGGGAGGTTGAAAAATGGCGGCCCCGCCCCGCCCCGAGCGTCCGCGAGCAAGCCCCCAGGCCGGCAAGAGGGAGAAAGCAGCAGCGAGGCGGAGGAGAGGAGAGGAAGAGGAGGGAACGGGGGGTCAGGAGGATTAGGCAGGGATGCCGAGAAGGACGAAGAGCAAGATCAGGAGGGAAAAGGGTAGGGGAGGATGAGTAATGATGATGGTTATTTGCGCCCACAATGCGCGCCCGTGCGACTGGCCTTTGCTCGGCCAAGACCTATGCCCACAGCAAAACGCGAAAGCCGCGCAGACGACATTGAACGCGCGCGGCCAGCGTGACGGAGCACGGCGGGGCTGTCGAGAACAGCCACCGCCGCGAAGCAAACAAAAGGTTAACCATGCGCAAACCAGCATGTGCACATGAAAGCACAAAGCACAAGGACACACATCCGGAAACATTTTTTGGGAGGTAAAGGATCGAAACAGAGCCCCCAGTGAACTTGCCGTTGGGTTCGTACCAAAGGTCGATTGGTGCCCAGGCCGTGCGTTGGGCGCGCCTGGCATCGTCAAAGCATGATGTGCGGTGACGCATTGGTCGCGCATGTGATTCACGCCGAAAAGAGTTGGGGTGCTCATGGGAAAACGACGACCACCTGCCGTTGTAGCCGTGACGACGATGTGTTGCATTTCTCTTTCAGGGCCTCTGGGAGTCCCGGCCTTTTCCCCGTCGTGGGCCTTTCGTCCCGTGTCGTTTCTGGCGGTCCTGGGGCTGGGCGAGGGCCCCCAGAGGCCGAAGACGGAGAACACACATCCGCAGAGGCGCAATTGGACGGCGGGTGAAGAGGGAGAAGGGTTGACAGAGGAGGGGAATGATGAGGAGGAGGAGGAAGATGAAGAGGAGGACGAGGAGAAGGAGGAGGAGGAATACGAGGACGAGGAGGCGGGATGATGCTGTGGCTGCTGCTGCTGATGATGCTGATGCTGATGATGACGATGCCGGTTCTGACGAGGACGATGATGACGAGGAGGAGGAGGAGGACG